CAAAAAAATGTTTCCAAGTATTTTAGCCCATATAAAGTGATTCAAAAAGTAGGGAAAGTCAATTACAAACTTGAGCTACCTGCTGGAGCATAGATTAATCCAGTCTTTCATGTCTCATTATTGAAAAAAAAAATTGGAAAAAAGGAAGTCCCAGTCTTAGCGATTCCAGATCAGGTTTACACTGATAGCTGAACCTTGGATACAAGATTGGTCTAAAGGGAAGGGATGTTACGAGAGAGAGGAGAAGCAGTTGAATTGGAACTAGAAGAATAAACATAGTCACAAGACCAGGAAGGAGGAAGAGAAGAGTAACAACTAATAGGATTTTCAAATTAAATAACAGTGTCATTTATTATTAATATAAACAATGTCTTTTTCGGCCAGAATTAAATTTAATTGGCAAAGAGTTTTAGCATTTCTTTCACGCTTTTACTATGTCATATCAAAAGAGCTCGATGAAAAAAGGGAGATTTTTGGGACGTGTGATTACTTCTCTTCTTCTCCAAGTTATTGTTAGGTTTAAATCTTTACAAAAAACCTTTACTCTAAACTAAATTTAAAAGGAAAAAAAAAAAAATCTTCAGATTGTAGTATTATTGGAACGGTGGTTGAAAGAAAGAAAGTAAAGAAACCTTGATGTCGAAGTCGGCGTCGCCGGTGCAGAGAAGGTCGGAGAGGGGGTGGAAATCTAGGGTTAAAATGGGCTTGGTTTCGTGCCAATTAATCTGCACAGTGCTGCGCTTCATTTTTTCCTATGAATCTCGAATTTGACTACTATTGGTTCTACAACAGATAATATTTAAATAGTGTTCATTGAATCTTCGTTTCTTTGGCTTTTCAAATTAGGGTTTATGGAGGGACAAGTATGGAGATTTTAGTTTTTCAGGGAAAATGAAGTCAAAGTCACAGTAGCGGGGTTGAATCACCTGCCTTGCTTTTTCCTCCAATAGTCGTAATATGGTTCTTCAAATAAAATCGTATGTTACTTTGGGATGATATAAGAATGCATTTTTCAATAATATATTGATGGAGAATGTGTGGTTAAAAAATAAGGAAATATTTTGAATTTGCGTACAATATTATTTTATTAAAGAATGTGTGGTTGAAATGATCTCAAATCACTGTTTAAGAATGTAGCTCAAACAAGACTTAAAGCTGCATAAAGGCACTCTAAACAATGACCAATATAGTGAGTTTATGGGTTACTTCAATTTTCAGAGAACACATAAAAAGTATCAGAATCGAATACTACAATGGGATTTATTTTTCAAACCTTTTACAACTCTAATAACATAGAACTTTAAAAAATCAACTTGGAGCTCAAAGTTTCTAGCAGAACAAAAGCACATTCGTAGGATTAGTGCCTCAGCATCTTCTGCGGAGAAACACCATCCACTCTCTTTGTGAAAGTTGCCACAACATTTTCAAAGTGGTCTTTAATAACGCCCCCGCACCAATGGAGTTAGCGCAGACTATAGCATTGTATCAATTTTAATTTTGGTATTACCTAATGGTACTAAACATGCTATAGGTGTATTGTACGTAGTGGTGATAGTAATACTAAGGCACGCAGATAGGGGCGGAATGGGGTGGAGCATGGTGGGTCACATGCCCCACCAATTTTTTGACATTTTTTACTTAGAAAGCACCCGAACGGAACGCATGCGTGGGCACGAAATCGCGTTGCGCGTCGAGAGATGGCCTCGGATTTCCCGGCAATTGCCTATTTCGGTCCAGAAATGGAGTAAAGACCCGACGAGAGTGGGAGGAACAATCCGGACGGAGGGCATGCGCGGGGGCAAGAAACCGCGCGACGTGTCGATCGATTGGCCTAGGCATAAGACGCATGTTGCAACGTAGTGCTCGCAACTTCCCAATGTCCGATCGGTTGGTACGAAATTGTCCCGAATCGAGACCGTCGTGAGGCACAACGATGCAGGACGGAGGGCAGGCGTGGGGACGAAACCGCGCGGCGTGTCGGTCGATTGGCCTAGGCATAAGACGCACGCTGCAACGTAGTCCCCGTAACTTCCCAACGTCCGATCGGGAGGTGCGAAATCATTCGGAAACGAGACCGTCGAAAGGCACGACGATGCAGGACGGAGGGCATGCGTGGGGACGAAATCGCGCGGCTTGATTTTTAAATAATTCATCATCTACTTTTGTTTGATTTTCTCTTCTACAACATACAATTTAAATAGCACTTTCATCTTCGATTTTCAAATCATTATTTAAGTGTGCTTCACCATACCCAATCGATAGTCAATATCCGCTCAATTTTTCTTGTGCATGTGTATATGTATGTGAGCTTCTTTGTCTTTATACATTGATGTTTGTATCTATTTGCATCTGTGGAAGGTTCACTTGATATTTATTTGGGGTGAAAATAGAAGGGTTTTGTTTGATTTGAATTGAAATTGTTGTAAATTTAGGAAAGTTTTAAGCTTTGTGCTTTGATGTTCTTATTCTAAATAATTGTAGGATTTAACACGAAACTCACTACTTTTTCATTTTAATTTCTGCTTTCACACCAGATTTTTTTGTCATTGGCTGTTAAAATCTGTTTCTGTATATGAGGAATTGTAGGAAAGAAAAAGAAATTATTTACTAATTTACGTTTTTCAATTTTTCTTTTCCTTTTAGAGAGTTAGAGAGCCACAGAAAGGTGGTATTTTTTTATTTTTTAAAATTAAATTTTTAGTAGTAGCACATTTAATTATAATTTTTAGAATTTTGGAATGTGTTATTCGAGCAATATTGGTACCCCGACAGTAGGGTCCAAACCGGGGTTTAGATCCAGCCATTTGTCATGAATCATGTGTTCTGTTTGCATATCCATGACTTGGATTTTGGTCTTAAGACTATGGGTGGGTGCGGGTCGGTTCGGTTCTAAAGAGAACCGAATCGAACCGAACTTTTCGGGTATCTAGTAAATGGAACCGTCGGGTCCAAATATAATTATGAAACCGTTCGGGTTCGGTTCGGTTCCGTTTGGTTCTGTACTATAATTAAATTTTTTAACATTTATAACAACATTATATAAATACAACTAATGATACATTTATTGGTTTTGGAATGTTAGAGACTAGTAAACTATCTTGTTCAAATGATCGCTACGATCAAAGTTTCGGTTGGTGAATGTCACAGTTTCGATCGGAGGTCACAGTGTCGACCGATAATTGTATAGGTTTTGGAATATTAGCGAGACTGCGAGAGTGAGTGCGAGAGTCGAGACAACGTTATGCACTTTGGTGTTGGTGTTTAGGGTTATTTAGTGGATTTGATCTTGCTTGGCTAAGAAATGAAACAATAAAATGGGTAATTGGACCAAAAATTAAAAAAATTAGAAATGAAACAAATTATTTGGCCAAAAATTTTGATTTAGAAATCGTTAATTTGTTAATTTGTTTAGAAAAAATTAAAATAATTTGATTTACTCAATATAAAAAAAAATTACAAAGATTCGATTCTTATTCGGTTCTTCGATTCTAGGTCTAGAACCGAGAATCGAACTGTACCCGTCGGTTCTCAATTCAGATACCCGTTTGGGTATTTAATTTGACAAGAACCGTCGGGTTCGGTTTTCGGTTCGGTTCGGGAGATTTGCCCAGCCCTACTTAAGACACTATTGATGCAATAGATGATTTGCTTTGCAGTTATGTAAGAGGACACGGGTAATTCAGAATGGAGATGGGGCATAATTTCACTTTTTTCATTCGAGAATGGAAGGGAAAGGAGTTGTTTGACTTTCTATGTTTAGTTTAAGTTTGAATTTGTTTATGGATCCCAATTTAACATTTTCAAGACAAAGTTATGTGCGTTTAGGAGTTGCAATGTTGAGCTGGCACTCACATTTGAGTTGAAAAAATTGGCGCTCGTAGCTTTTTCATAATTTTTTTGCAAATTCGATTGGGCCCCTAATTTAAAATGTCTGTATCACCACTGCATGCAAGCTATAGCATTTGCATCTAGTTTCACTTTTTTGCATGGTCTAATTGTGCTAAGCATGCTGTCAATGTATTGTAAATAATACTGAATGCAACTGAACAACAGGATCAAAGAAGAAAAATAATTGAGAAATGCAAGTATTAAAATTGGGAGCTATGCTACACAAAAGATGGAAAGAAGTTTATGCCTCTGTTTGGTACCGCTAAAAAATTGTTAAAATCTAAGTCGAAGTTATTAATTAATTTTAACCATTTCATAGAGCATGCAACTTTTTTACCATACATATTCCATCAATTGTTATCAAAATTAATTAAAAATCTGATTGTAATCTCTCCCAAATAGGGACTATATGTTTTTCTCCTTTTGTTTATTATTTTGTCCACTAGTTCCTTAAAACACTGTGTCCCATTATATTTGATCAGAAAATTAGACATAATCCATCAGTGAGATCCAATTACTATAAAAATTAGAGGTTGGAGATCATAATGTCAAGAAATGCTATTTTGAGTATAGAATGAAACATATAGGCATTAACTTGTGTTATTGTCTTTAAACATGGTCTAGTATGTAACTCGAAGTGGCCAGCCCCGTGTCCAAGATCCACTGCGGAAACAACTGTATTCAGTGAAGAGAGATGGTTGGTTTGATGTCGAAAACTGTGATGATCGTTGCACGTTTCATGCATATTAAGCTAAAAATAACTCGTTATATGTTAGGACTATAATGCATTGTTACGAGTAATTTTGAGCACTACATTGGCTTAACCCAGCCAGCTGCCAGCCCCAACCTAATATAAATCTATGGGACGTGCTAGGTCTCTGGTTATTTAGATTGTCTTGTGTTCGATCTATAGCTTGCTGGCATAGGATTACATCAAAAGGGTCGGCCGATCAAACTCGCCTAACACTACCCTTTCTACTTGATCTTCCATGTAGAAAAGATCTTATGTAAAGTAGTTGAAAACACAAAACAAAGAAAACCCTGAAAGCATCTATAATAAAACTATATCATATAGCATTCAAATTTAAAACAAAATCTCAAAATAAGCAAGCTTAAAATCCCAAAGAGCTTATATTTATTGCAGGTGGAGTGGGAATAGGCATTGCACTGTTTGCCGGTTGCGTCTCTCCCCAATGATTCAACATGCCTCGCCAGTTGCAATTATGCGGAGGATCAATGCACTTGTCAATGCGTTCATCTTTTATTTCGATTCTCCAATGCCCATCAGAATAGTTTGCCTTTTGAGCCTGCCTTCTGTCCCATTCCAACTGAGCCTTTTGTTTTGATCGCAATAGACAAAACTGTTGGAGTGTTTCTGGCATGGAGTCGTGAAGTTTCCACCACTTCTTGTGGGCTATGTCGCTTGCGAATTCTTGTAGGAAATCTGTGTTCCAGTTGCAGTCGTAGTCACGAAAGCACATCCATGGCTTGTTACCTGTTGAAACGACGAATACTCGAGTTTTTAGATGAGTTGGTTCAACATGTTAGAATGATTGTGTAATCAAGTTTCGCAACTGTCTATTCTTGAAAAATTATGCACATGCCAAACTTATAGCTAATCTCATCTGGATGACCTTACTTTCGAGACAAAATAATTGAGATGAGATTTGAATACAAACAATGTCACCATTTACATGAAATAAGGCTAGAACATTACCCAAATAATGAAGAACGTAAATAACCGGTGGTTCTGCTGTGAAAAGCCGAATTTTCTTCTGCTTTACTTCTTCATCGTCCCCAACCCAAAAATTCTTCAAGAAATTCATATACCTTGGAAATCTATGCCACCATGTGAAAACCTCATTCAGGTATCCCTGATCTCCACCATTATATGATTCAATTTCATTAATATTATCCATCAAAAACTGGAATGTGCAATTCGATGGCTCAATCACCATTACTCCAGAATTGAAAAGTGTTCCATGGTTCCCCGTTGCAGAGATTTCTGGCATCGAAAACAAGAAATCGATGTTTTTGAGAATAAGCAGATCGGAATCGATGAAGATTATTTTGTCATAATCTGTAAGTTGCCATAATCTGAACTTGCTGTAGTTCCATTCGTTGTAGGCATCTTTTTCGGCCTTAGGATTTCTGATTCTTTGTATTATTCGGATTTTCCAGCCTGCTAATTCGAGTCCACTTTTGTGGTATTCGCTGATTGTGTCATCGACAAGGATAATGAGATCCCTGGTGGATCCAGCCATGCGGATGCTCTGGGCTGCAGCTATGGCTCCACACACATAGACATTGGCCGAGTGCAGGACGGTAGCGGAAGCCTCTCGTTGCCCGTTTCTGGTGTAATCCTGTGCTGTTATGTGCCAAACAAATCTTTATACGATTAGTGAGTATTAAGTAACACGCACTTCGTGATGTTATCAAAGAATCAAGTTTGACGTTTGGCAAAATCCCATATTTGGTATCAAGAATATTTAGTGCGCGAAACTAGATAGAACTTACCTTTGGCTCCAAGGGGAAGTGCAAGTTCACATGATCCTATTGGAAGCTGAAGCTTTTTTCTAAGCACATCCTTGTTCGGTTTATATAACCACATGTTGCCAACACGAACAACTCGATCCTTGCACGTGAACAAATTTGGTATCGGCGGGCACTTTGTAATTAAAAGAAGATGAACAGGGTATCTACCTTTGCAAGAGGCAGCTAAACCAGCCACTGATATCTGCAAGTGTAGTCGAGCAATATCTTTCGACCAATTCACTTTATTACGACAAGGGAGTTTGACAGAAACAAGATCAGGGCGATGTCTTGGGACTTTAAGGTTAGATAGACGAGGGCAACTAGGAACTATGTCATCCTGTTCTTCATCAATCCATTCAGGATACAAGGAATCCCAAGTAATGTTTTTCTGGGCATAATCCAGGTGTAGAACTTCGTGATTAGCCGTGGGAATAAGCTGTTTCCATTGATGGATTTCGCTCTCATCAAAATTGAGAAGTCCTACTCGTCGAATCTTATTATCTTCAGGTAACTGCTCCAGTGCTCTTAAAATATCATGCCAATTGATGTCTAAATGTGATACGTATCGAGGATCCAACTCGCCCCATATCCACCTGTTCACAAAATGTGGCTTCAATATATAAGCTATGCATTATTGAAAAGCGTCGATCATATATTTGATGATATTGTCGTTGACTCGTCGTTCATTTGATTTACGTGTACATAGTTTATACTAATACTAATTATAAAAAAATAATTGATAACGATTTAGAAGATGAAAAATTAACTGACATGTGAATAATATTATAAATAAAAGAAATAAAAGTGAAAATTATTTATTTAATTTTTTAGATAAAATATAAAAACGAATAAATATTTATTTAATTTTTTAAATAAAATGTAAAAACTAACTTATAAGTCCATTTAATTTTTTAATTAATTATTTGGAGTTCATTTGTATATTTATTTTGAAAAATTTGGGAGGCAATTAATTAATTATTTTTTATTTTCTTTTTGTTTTGTTTAAAGAGGACGATATATTCGTCATTTCACAAGGCTTTATTGAGAAAATGGAAAAAAAGGTTGTATTCCACAAAGAAAATGTCATATAGGGGGATTTTCCTCAAAAATGAAAAGGTCGTAGTTCGCAAAGAAATGTCAATAGAGCTAAAGGTTAGGGGTGTCTTGTGTCAATTACCCTTTCTTAAGGTCTGCTTCTATTATGGTCTTCTCTACACAAGTTCTCGAACAATGTTTTTGAACAAAAGCACGGGGCTTCTATGTGTTCTACAAGTTCAAGGGAGTTTAAAGCCTGCAATGGAAGAATATCTGACTCGAATTCGAAGGGCCGTGCACTAAAACTTTAAATGGGACATTATCCATTAAGACAGAATCAAAATAGAAGACTTGTACAAGCTCAGTTAAGATTATGCACATGAATCCTATAGCCTAAAGCCCCAACCGTATAACAGAGTTGCGGTGAGTTGACAGCCAGAATAAATTTTAGCACATCCTATGATATGAATTCTAATGGATTGAAAGGACCAGCCAAAAAAGGAGTCCTTTAGTCGACCCTATCTGAGAATAAGATTTAGTTTGTTGTTGTTGATGCAGAAGCGAAAAAAGTCATTGAATGTAAAATTTACCTGGAAAAGTTGTGGAATATACTTTTCTGTTGATAAACTGGTGGAGATGAAAGAATTGTTACAAGTGTTCCAAGAACAATGGTAATCAGGACAATTTTTAGTGGGTGGATCTTGATTCTAGTACTCTTCCCTGCAATGGCAAACTGGAAAGGATTCTCAACACTTCTAAATTTGATTTTCTGCAACCTTTTCTTATATGCATCATCTCTGTTAATAGGGCATGTAGACGCATGTTAGAGTAAACAAGATGAACTGAATCCATAATAAACAAATAAATAAGAACAGTAAGAACCAGTATTCCTTGAATGTGTGTGTGTGTGTTTATATGTATCTTTGCACGTCGAGTTGACATGTTAAATTAGTTATAACTGGTCATATCTTAAGAAAAATGTCACGTGAACTGTTAAGGAAAAATAATCCCACATCGGTAAAATACTGAAATATTGACCAACTTAAAAAGATCTTGGGCCACTCCTCTTAACAAGATTGACCTTATTAAAATGGACCCCAACTCTTAACATGGTATCAGAGCCCATTATGCTCCAACGAGCTATTCAATCCGATTAAGTCTCAAAAATGAGCACACGGATTTCAAGATGGTCTGCTCAAAAAATGAGCCATCATCTTGCGGGGACATGTTAAGGAAAAATAATCTCACATCGGTAAAATACTGAAATATTGACCAACTTAAAAAGATCTTGGGCCACTCCTCTTAACAAGGTTAACTTTATTAAGATGGACCCCAACTCTTAACATGAACGGACTTATTTTGGTTTTGCCTATTTTCAAGTGTGTCTAGTCTGACTTAACAAACAAGCCGTTGTGTTATTCTGTCACTTCATCATGTCAATTACATAGTTTTTTGAACTACTTCCTATACTAAAACAACTTATCTAAAAGCTTTATTCGTTAAAAGGGAAATGATTTTTTCTTTTTTGTTTTTTTAATACCCCTCATATGCAATTCATAGACACATAATATGATTTTTTTTTTCTTTTTTCTTTTTTTTTTAAGAGGCAGATGAATGTTCACAAATTTACGGCGGGTGGGACTTGAACAGAGTTCTTTACTACATCGGATATGATACCATACGAAACCTTCGCATTCATAATCTAATGATCAAAACCTTCCAAATGTCTTTATCTTTCTAGTCAACAGTTGTAGGCCTCTAGTATGACGAAGTACCGAATTTGTGACATTTTTCCCAAGGAAAAAGTTCATGAGGGGCTTAAAGTACTACATAAGATTGAATGTTAAGACAATTGAGAAGTACTACATAAGATTGAATGTTATCCATGGATAAGAAACATAACCAATTCAGGAATGAACTCACATCCTTTGTCTAGTATCCATGAGACTTCTGGAACAATTTATCACTGCAATATCAGTTTGAATTACGTGATAATTTGATCTGCAATACAATATAGAATCCAGGTCATGACATCATAGGCCCACAAACTTTAATAAACAATAACTTCATAGGGTCGTTTAAAAGAAAAATATTGCACGAAGATTGCTTCAGAAACTTGAATATGTGATTCCTTCTCGAGAGCCATTCATACGTTGGAAACGCTGTAATAGAACTCTCCAAATTTACCTTTGAAAATGCCACTACAATTTCCATCCCTTAAGGATCGAGAGGTTAAGATGAAAACCAAGAGAGAGAAAAATTTTGTGACTGATGGAATATAGAGCAAGTAGAGAGTACAGCCTACTAATATGAACAATCATATATTGAATTCATGTTTGGTAATGTGATTATATAATGTTACAATAGCAAGAAAGAAAACGAAACTAAAATCTTGTCTTTTTTAGAACCATTCCACATGATCTAATACCACGTAGAAAACGTGCAGTTATCTCTTTCTTTTAAAAGAATAAGAAAATATTTCCCATTGTATAGAAATCCTTCTAGCTTTGGAAATTTTGTAGGTACTAGGAAAGTTTGATCTGTCTTAAGGTTTCTACTTATTTTGGGAAGCACCCTCTCGTTTGATTCATGAAAAACTTTTATCCCCTCTGTCAGAAATATTTGATCCCTTTTCCAGTCGCTATGTATAGGACACATTTCAAAAGGTCATACGCCCATCAATAGTCACTTCCATCGCTGTTGTTTTAGAAGTCATAGTTAAAATACATCTAAATTTCATATGTAGTCACTTAACATTCGATGAAATCTTAATTGGCTATTAAAACCTCAATTTATTTTCTAATTTCACCATTTCGTCACCTGCTTTCTCCAAATTAATGAAGACCATTGGATTAGCAGCCATACCACAATGAATCTTCCATGTAGTCGATGCATCGTATGTCAATTATGTAAAAGTGTTAAAATAAAAAAAATACATCTAAACATTTTAATCTAAAGACCGCAGACGAAATTTATCGACAAAACACCTTATCATTCAAGAGGATTTGAAATATGATTTCAAACTAGGAAAAAAATTGAAGCTTGAACTCAAGATGTGCTAGTTGAGATACCCGTATGTCGACCACCTCAGATGGTGTGAAGGTGGGGTAGCATTATTGAGCTCTACCACCTATATTTCTCCTTGATGTATGTATGATTCAAAATCTTTAATGTCGAAAAATCAACTATACCATTTAGATCATATTCTATAAGTTAGAGGTTGATCCGTAGTGCAATAAAAAAGATTTACATTTTGTTCTTCTTCAATACTATCCATTGTTGTAGTGTTCACCATGCCAGATTTGTCATAAATATTTTCTTAATCGAGTAAAACAAATATCATATTCTTCTTGCCTTTATGGCTATTAAAAAACATTATAAAAGAATGGGTGTATTAAATGTATTGAGTTAATAAAACACGTGCAATGTCTTACCAAATGGCAAAATTGTAATAATCTTTTATACGTAACGAGGTAGAATATCTCATTTGTAACATTTTAAAATTTAAAATTCTACTAGGTCTTTCTATAATCATTTTTTTAATCAGAGTTTCAAAGTTTAAAATCACACTCGCTCGTAGGCAAACATTATTCGCTTTTGCAAAGTGGTTTTCAATTTAAACCATGATAAGCCTCATCGCAACATACATACGAGCATAATTATATACCAATTCTAGTATTCTTCAATTTATAATGTTGAGATTATTATTGTTCTATGTTCTTTTTCTGCTGCACTTAAATTGAACAAAATTTTCTTATGGTCAACTGTCCACTTAGTCAACTGCAAAAAACACTGTAGAATCACGCAATGCAAGCTGCTCGCGTGTTTCCTAATCGCAAGGAAAGTTTTTACATTTTATAGAACAAAAGTTTTTACATTTTATAGAACAACTTTAACATATTTTAATAAAGCTTGCTGAATTAAAACATCAAAAGACAAGAAGCCAATTTAAATTTAAATTGGAGAAAACTGGATATATGCAGTACTCTTTTTAATAACGTTTTGAAGTACTCACAGTGTATTTTGCAATGCATATTTCAATCTGCTAAACCGCTAACGATGAGATCAAAATAGTGAGTTGGAAATCTAATTCATAGCCATCACCTCTTTTGGGGCCTATATTTCAATCTTTGGAAAAGGTTGTGGGTATCATTTTGAGAAACTCATGATTAGCTATATATGCCACCACATAGTTTGAAATGAAAAACTGTTAAGTGGTGGACTTAAATAAAATGATATTTGATGTCAATTATGATCAAATTTATAAGTATGGCTAATTTTCTGGTTGCTACAAGTTGTATATATATTGTTATTTTGATTGAATTGGTGAATTGAAAATTTGATATTATTTCGTTAAATTTGTATATTGTAGTTCTTGGCACTAATACAGAATTAATAAGTGATCATTTTAATCATTTGAGGAATTGCAAATAGCAACGTAGGGGGTCTGTCCAATGAAACTTTTGAAAACTTTTTGAGACCTTTTTTAAGTGATAGTTTTTGTAAATTTTTTGGACTTCTCTATAGATTTGTATGGAATTAATGGAAGTCATTCGTAGACTTCTGTATACTTTCATTCTAAAAATTTTATAAACTTTTGAAAATTTTCAAGTTAAAATGAAATTCACCTTAGTCTAATGCAACAGTGTGAAGTTCTCACTTCTCACATCTCACATCGTATGTGTGCTGTGGTTCATTGGTTTCCACATTCTCTTTCCTCTCTTTATGTAATAAAAAATATTTTTAAAATAACCCGTAGAAAAGAAAATATTTTAATCATGACTCTAGTGTCCATAGAAGGGAAAAAGGATATAGAAATATTGAAAGAGATAACAAATACATAATAATATATAGTTTTTATTTGTGAAAGTTTCTCAAAATATTAGAATGAATGAGAGACAAAATTTAATATTTTACTTTTATACTGTCTACTTAAAAGTTAGTATGTTAGATACTTTTATAAAAAAATTTAAAAGTAATTGATAATTTACGTACACCGAACTTTAAAAAAAATAAAATTAATTGACTATGCTATGATTTTAGGGGTGTCAATTTGACTTGTCAATTTGAGTTGCCCATGTTAGACCCGGAAAAAGCTCTAGTCGGCCCGGCTCGAGGCTCTAGTCAGGCCCCATTTTGGAGCAGTGGCCCGAGCTCGAGCTAGAGCCAATCTATGTGGCTCGACGAACCACACTGGCCAGCTCGTGTCATGGCCAATTTTCGATTAGTGACGAGCAGATTCTTGAAAAAATTATTGCAACAGTGTAGCTGCTTGTACTATTGCTTGCTTCACTAAAGAAATGGATTATTAGTTGGTAAAAGTTATTCACTTTCAACTACAATAATCAGCAACGAATTTTTCGTTGGTAACGATGATATTCCTTTACCAACGGATATTCTATAATACATTAGTTTAATTAAAAGAAAAGTCAAAAGTAAAAAAAAAAGGAAGAAAATGGTGGCTTAGGCGGTGGATATATATATATATATCCACCAAACTCAAAACAAATCCATTTCAACACACAAACACACACTACACACCAAGAAGCCGAGTGCAAAGAGAAAGAGAAAGGAAAAGAGGGAAAAAAATGAGGAAGGAAAAAAAAAAAAGAAATTTTTTGCCAACATGTTAGAAAACAAGTTCTTCTACTATTAGGCTTGAATACTTCAAAGTTAAAGGTAAGTAAAAAGTTACTTATTGTCAAGTTATGTTTAATTTTATAGTTGTTCGATTGTTAGATTAAATTCAATTTTATTAAAGGGTTAAGTATAATAATCTATGAAATTGAGTAAAATAAAAGAACTATTAGTTTTATTGATTAAAGAGGCTTTAAAAATCGTTTAAACGTAAAATGATTAAGTTTGGGTATCGCCTATTTAATTATTGAAGTTATTTTAAATAATTAATTGTTTATTTGAAAATTATATCATATTTCAAGCAGCGATACGGATATCGAGACATCTTATCAACCAAGTTGATTTTGGCGTACATAGTTCTGTGAGTGAAAAAATATAAATATTTTTAAAGTATTTATAAATTAAGTAAGTATGTGCAATTATGTGTTCGATTTTATGATTATTACATAAATCTCTTTTATTATGATACACGTGAATCTCAAAGATTATTTATGGCACATTTGTGACTTGGAATGTAAAATATGTGATATTGAGATTTGTTTAGTATGTGAGACATGTAATATTGAGATCGGCCAGAAAAGTATCCATGATTATATATTTCTTCTAGTTTACAGAGGGGCGTGGCCGTGTTTTATCCTACACGGAGGGGTCTTGACCTGACATTAGTCTTGATCATGTACATATAGTTCACATATGAGCCTTGGCCGTGTTCTAGAATTGATTATCAAAGGTATTTGAGATCTGTTTTCGTTCACGGAAGGGACCAAAGGTCTGTGACGAAAGTTCTTAGCCCGAGGGACGGATTACAAATTTTAGTCAGAGGTAAATTTTTGGTGGATTTTTCAGTACTTTTGATGTGATGAGATTATATTATGATTGCCAGCTTATGTTTATATCTTGATTTGAGATGATATTTTATGACGTTATGTGTATGTCTCACATTTTGACTATAATTATATGATGTTACGTTGCGAGTTATTCAATGATATGAACTCGATTTTCGATAAAAATGTAAAATTAAAAAAGTATATTATTTTCGAACTTCTCCACTCACTGAGCTATTAACTCATATAATTTTTCGTACTTTTTTCTACAGGTAGCAATTGATTCTTTTTAACTAGAAGAGTCTAATGATTTCGAAATTAAAGCCACACGGCATGTTGAATGTTATAACTCATATTGATGAAGCATGAAATAAATAATTTGGGCCAATCGCACTATATTTTACATAAGTATTTGATTTTGAAACATTTTTTTTGAAGTAACTCATAGTTTTGGTGATAGATTTGACATCTAGTCAGCATCTATCGTCGGTGCACGCCACGTTTCGAGTCCACTAGGGTGATTCGGGACGGGTCATGTCATATTCCATGTCTTACATAACTGTTTAACATTTGGATCTTTCACCTATGGAAGACGGGTCATGTCATATTCCGTGTCTTATATAACCGTTTAACATTTGGATCTTTCACCTACGGATATTCCGTAGGTGATGTACATCCGTTGGTAATTAGAAACGAATTATCTGTTGGTAAAAGTAATTCACTTTTAACTACGATAATCAGCAATCGATTTTCCATTGGTAACGATGATATCTCTTTACCAAAGATATTTTTTGCCTCATTTAATCGTTTAACATTTGGATCTTTCATCTACGGATATTCCGTTCATAATTAGAAATGGATTATCCGTTGGTAAAAGTAATTCACTTATCCCACATCGAAAGTTCAAAACAAAGTTTTTGAAATTGTTCTATATAAATTAATTTATGGTCCAATAAGTGGTTAAACAATATTTTGACCTTTCAATTCTGTTGGCTAAAAGTTAAAAAAATTAGAATTATTAAATAAATAATAATAACAATAATAAAAAATAAATAATTTTTTTTACCATGCCTCACATGTATGCAGCTATTTACAACATTAATTTTTACGAATTGTAATAGTAAATATTTACCAACAGAAAGTCAGTTGGTATTGGTTAAAATTTTTACCAACGGAAATTTGGTTGGTAAAAGATTCTTATTTTACCAATGAAAATTTCGTTGATAAAATATTTACTCGTTACCTACGGCAGGGTCCGTTGGTAACTATCAACGACCCTCAAATTAGCAACAAATTTGATGTTGCAAATATTTTGTTGGTAAAAAGTAATAGCAACGGATATCGAGATTTCAGGAACGAAAAATCTGTGTCTGAAACCATGTTTTTTAGTAGTGTTAGAAGGCTGCTTGTGTATATATTTAAAAAAATTTGAGCGGGCCCAACTCAGCTCAATAAGGCCTGAGCCTAGATTTTTTGGTTGAGGAAAAGCTCGAGCCTAAAAAAATTGAACCATTTTTACTCGAGTTGAGCCTGAAGCCTCAAGTTTCAGCTTGTGAGTCAGCTTGATTCGACTCATTGACATCCCACGTGATTTTTAAAGATTCTTTAAAAGTCTATAAGTTTTCATTGAATATACCAATACTTTTAGAAAGTCTCAAAATGTTCATATTAAATACTTTTTAAATTTCAAACAGTCTTTAAAAGTCCCAATTAAGTACACCCCATATGACAGTTTTTTAAGGTACTAGTATTTCATGTTTTTGATACTTTTGTAATATTTTCGATTTTGTTTTTTTAGTCTTTTAAGGTAATTTTTTTCTCAACAATATGTCCGCCCACTCCAAAATTTGATTATTGCATGATTTTGAAGTTGTGCGATTCCTAGGGGGTTCTATGCATCTATTTGAATGATTGGATTTATTTATGGATGACTGAATGTATATATGATTGATGAATGAAATAATAATCAAATTTTTTCCGTTATAATGAGGCACAAGGGAAACAAGATTCTTGGACATTGTTTTTTAAATTAATTTTTTCAAAGCGCTATTACCGGTTTGAAGGCAAGATAATTTGTAAGATATATAATCTGAAATTAACTTCTTATTTTGCGTTATAAAATACTGCAACATGCGAAATAGAATTCAACAATGGCGTGCCATGTGGCTATAAGGAAAACATTCCAGCAAGTTGAATTCATATGAAAAAACACCATGGATACATCAACAATTAAAATGACAGAGACCGAAACGAACTAAAGAGCACATTTGGAACATCACATTCAATAGTACTACATAATAAGATTTTAATTTCTTTTCTTCCTCAATAGTGGCAAACACTATTTATTCCACCAAACCAAACATGCTGGGAACTTAGCAAAATAGGATTTCTTCTTAGGTTTATCAAATATCCCAGATCCATAAGTCTGATATGTCATCTCAATCAAGAGAGGGAATTGCAAGATGGAGCAAAGAACTATCGGAATCGTTGAAAGGATGATGATCGGAATGGTAACCCAAGACAACTTCTCATGTAGAATCAGATACAATGCAGAACCAAAGGATGGCATCATTGTAACAATCGAAAAGAACAAACATGTCAATCCAAATATTAATTTCGTCGGTAAAGACTTGAGAAAATCTTCTTCTGCATAATGGGCCGTAAGAATTCCTAAGAACATCAACAGCGACGTACTTGAACTGAACATTGACAAGGCATTTGAAATCATGAAAATCAAGAATGGAGTTCTTTGAGTTTCCAGCATTGTTGGCAATCCTGAGTTTTCTTTATTACCACCTGGTACTGTGAAAGCTGTTGTGAACATTACAACAGCAATTAGAGTGCCTACTATCATGCTTGATCCTGCTGTGCTTTTCATCCAGCTCTCTGCATCTTTGGTTAATTTCTTGTGTTCATCAGTGAATAACATTTCGAGTGTTTTGGTGATCGCATTTTTTTCCTCTTTGAGTTTGGGTTGTACTATGCTCTCGACTTCCTGTTTATTGGAAGAAACAACTTAAGATGAGGATTTAAAACTATAGATAATATAGATTGACGTACCATTAGAGTAGATAAAATGTCGTGAATTCAAAAACATTTGTGAGTAGGGAAGAAACAAATTACACCATATTATGTCACTTTGGACTACTTTTTTTGGGATGAAATCATGTGCACAATTTGAACTCCATATCGAATCACCTCATATAAAGCTTAAACTTTTGGAAACAAGACAAACTTATATATGTGAATTAAGTGTTCAATAACTATCACCTATTTATGAAAATTGTACGTGTCGTAGAGTGGGAGCATGTTGAAGATAAAATTCAAATAAATAAGTATACGATATCTCTCAACAGCTTAAACTTTCAGATATTATGACTTGAATAACAATCACAACAGTAACCTCAATTTCTCCCTCATCCGTCTCCTTTTCCAACCTCAATTCCCCCCATTCAATTGAATGACCAATAAATAATAATTGTTGCAAACCAAGTTAATAACCAATTCTCGCTGTATACCTCCAACAAAAAGTTCACACTATTCAAAAACAATAGACTATGCAGACACTATCACTTTTTGTATCATTTCATGCACATTTAGTAGACAGGCTCTGAGCATGAGACAATAATTGCTTTGTTGTTGAACAATATGGTGACTTATCTGTATGATTTAGATGTTCGACGGGGAATCCTTCATTGCTAAACAGTGGCGTATTTCAAGGATGAAAACAATTTCTTCTCCGGTACCACTATTTCGATCAACACTTTTTATATATACATCCACTTTTAAAAATTAAATTTTATTATATTTTAAAATCCTATGTAAATTTACTTAAATAGATATAAACAAAATTAAATAAAACTACATAACTCTAAATTGATCCACTAGTTTTTATTTTCATTTATGCTTAACTAGAATCATAATAGAAAGAGAAAAAATACATGAATATAATTATAGGTGATGGTGGCCCTAAATGTGATTTCTGTGTAGGGAATTGACACGACTCGTCCCGAATCACCCTAGTGGATCGGAAACGTGACGTGCGCCGAGGATAAATGTTGACTAGATGTCAAATTTATCACCAAGACTGACTATATATGGGTTATTTCAAAAAATACAACAAAATCAAATGCTTATGTAAAACATAATGTGATGGGCCCAAATTATTTATTTTGTGCTTCATCAAAATGAGTTATAACACTCAACATGTCGTGCGGCTCTCATTCCGAAATCATTAGGCTCTTCCAGCTAAAAAGAATCAATTTCCACCTGTAGGAAAATAACGGAAAAATATATGAGTTGATAGCTCAGTGAGTGGAGAAGTTCGAAAATAATTATAATTTTTCATTTTTACATTTTTCTCGAAAATCGAGTTCATATCATTGATAACTCGCAAGATAACATCATATAATTATAGCCAAGACGTGAGACATTCACATAACGTGGTAAAATATCATTTCAAGTCATGATATAATCATAAGCTGGTAATCATGTTATAATCTCATCACATCAAATGTATTGGAAAATTGACCAAAAATGTACCTTTTGACTAAAATCTGTAATCCGCCCCTCGGGCTAAGAACTTTCGCCACGGGCCTTTGGCCCCTCCGTGAACGAAAACGGGTCTCAAGACCTCTGATAATCAATTTTAGAACACAGCCAAGGCCCCTCAATGAACTATATATACACGATCACGACCCATTCATCCGCAGTCAACCCCTCAGTGTAGTATAGAACACGACCAATGCCCCTCTGTGAACTAGAAGAAGTACATAATCACGGGTACTTTTCTGGTCGTTCTCAATATCACGTCTCACATACCAAACAAATCTCAATATCACATGTCTCATATACCAAGTCACAAATGTACAATAAATAATCCTTGAAATTCCACATGTATCATAATAAAAGAGATTTCTATAATAATCATGTAATTTGAACACATAATTGCACATACTTTAACAATATACTTAATTTATACGTACTTTAAAAAAAATATATATTTTTCCACTCACAGAGCTATGTACACCAATATCAACTCGATTGATAAGTTGTCCCGATATCTGTATCGCCGTCTGAAATATTATATAATTTTTAAATCAACAATTAACTATTTTAAGTAATATCAATAATTAAATAGGCGATACCCAAACTTAATTATTTTATATTTAAGCGATTTCTAAAACCTCTTTAATTACTAAAACTAGTTTTTCTTTCATTTTACTCAATTTCATAGTTTATTATATTTAACCCCTTTAATAAAATTGAATTTAATCTAACAATTTAACAACTATAAAATTAAACATAACTTGACAATAAGTAACTTTTTACTTACCTTTAACTTCGAAGAATTTAAGCCTAATAGTAGAAGAACTTATTTACTAACACGTTAGGGAGTTTTCCTCTTTTTATTTTATTTTTTTCTTTTTCTCCTTTTTTTTTTCCCTTCTTCCTTCTCTTTCTTTCTCCCTGTTTCTGTTTCACTCTGCGTGTTTTTGTATGTGTAGGCAAATGGATTTGTTTGGCAATGGATTGATATAAAATAAATGCACCGCCTCACCTTTTTTGTTTGCCTTTTTTTTTTTTAATACTTTTGACTTTTCTTTTAATTAAACTAATGTATTACAAAAAAATGTATCAAAGTCAGAAATCAGTATTTATTGATTTTATCACACAAGCCACATTTCTCAAAAAATCCTTGAACTTCTCGATTTCCTTCTCGAGATTTCCCATCCTCTTTATGTTTTTGGACCGTCAAATTACAAATTTAAAGGCCATACCACTAGCCTGCTCTAACTTATAAAATTAGAAACATAATAAGAAAACATCCTCGGTGTTTTTGGAAGAGAAATGAAAGGATTAAAACCGGAATATTGAGAACACTTCTGCTCTTCCCTCTCCCATGCCGCCTCTTCTACAACATGATTTCTACAACGAACTTTTAGTCCCAAAATTTAATCTTTTCTATCATACTTTTAATAACTTCCTAAGCCAATATATAATATTCTCATCTTTCATTTTTCTTTTTTTTTTTCCCAAACCCTTAGGAAAACTCAATTATTTTTTGAAGTTGAAATTCAAGATACTGCTTTTTATGTTCTCCAAATCTTCACCTTACGTTCTAATTTAAACTATTCCCTAATCACATTCTTTTTCTATAACAATGGTTNTAGTATGTGAGACATGTAATATTGAGATCGGCCAGAAAAGTATCCATGATTATATATTTCTTCTAGTTTACAGAGGGGCGTGGTCGTGTTTTATCCTACACGGAGGGGTCTTGACCTGACATTAGTCTTGATCGTGTACATATAGTTCACATATGAGCCTTGGTCGTGTTCTAGAATTGATTATCAAAGGTATTTGAGATCTGCTTTCGTTCACGGAAGGGACCAAAGATCTGTGACGAAAGTTCTTAGCCCGAGGGACGGATTACAAATTTTAGTCAGAGGTAAATTTTTGGTGGATTTTTCAGTACTTTTGATGTGATGAGATTATATTATGATTGCCAGCTTATGTTTATATCTTGATTTGAGATGATATTTTATGACGTTATGTGGATGTCTCACATTTTGACTATAATTATATGATGTTACGTTGCGAGTTATTCAATGATATGAACTCGATTTTCGATAAAAATGTAAAATTAAAAAAGTATATTATTTTCGAACTTCTCCACTCACTGAACTATTAACTCATATAATTTTTCGTACTTTTTTCTACAGGTAGCAATTGATTCTTTTTAACTGGAAGAGTCTAATGATTTCGAAATGAAAGCCACACGGCATGTTGAATGTTATAACTCATATTGATGAAGCATGAAATAAATAATTTGGGCCAATCGCACTATATTTTACATAAGTATTTGATTTTGAAACATTCTTTTTGAAGTAACTCATAGTCTTGGTGATAGATTTGACATCTAGTAAGCATCTATCGTCGGTGCACGCCACGTTTCGAGTCCACTAGGGTGATTCGGGACGGGTCATGTCATATTCCATGTCTTATATAACTGTTTAACATTTGGATCTTTCACCTACGAAAGACGGGTCATGTCATATTCCGTGTCTTATATAACCGTTTAACATTTGGATCTTTCACCTACGGATATTCCGTAGGTGATGTACATCCGTTGGTAATTAGAAACGAATTATCTGTTGATAAAAGTAATTCACTTTTAACTACGATAATCAGCAATCGATTTTCCATTGGTAACGATGATATCTCTTTACCAAAGATATTTTGTGCCTCATTTAATCGTTTAACATTTGGATCTTTCACCTACGGATATTCCGTTCATAATTAGAAATGGATTATCCGTTGGTAAAAGTAATTCACTTATCCCACATCGAAAGTTCAAAACAAAGTTTTCGAAATTGTTCTATATAAATTAATTTATGGTCCAATAAGTGGTTAAACAATATTTTGACCTTTCAATTCTGTTGGCTAAAAGTTAAAAATTAGAATTATTAAATAAATAATAATAACAATAATAAAAAATAAATAATTTTTTTAACCATGCCTCACATGTATGTAGCTATTTACAACATTAATTTTTACCAATTGTAATAGTAAATATTTACCAACAGAAAGTCAGTTGGTATTGGTTAAAATTTTTACCAACGGAAATTTGGTTGGTAAAAGATTCATATTTTACCAATGAAAATTTCGTTGATAAAATATTTACTCGTTACCTACGGCAGGGTCCGTTGGTAACTATCAACGACCCTCAAATTAGCAACAAATTTGATGTTGCAAATATTTTGTTGGTAAAAAGTAATAGCAACGGATATCGAGATTTCAGGAACGAAAAATCTGTGTCTGAAACCATGTTTTTTAGTAGTGTTAGAAGGCTGCTTGTGTATATATTTAAAAAAATTTGAGCGGGCCCAACTCAGCTCAATAAGGCCTGAGCCTAGATTTTTTGGTTGAGGAAAAGCTCGAGCCTAAAAAAATTGAACCATTTTTACTCGAGTTGAGCCTGAAGCCTCAAGTTTCAGCTTGTGAGTCAGCTTGATTCGACTCATTGACATCCCACGTGATTTTTAAAGATTCTTTAAAAGTCTATAAGTTTTCATTGAATATACCAATACTTTTAGAAAGTCTCAAAATGTTCATATTAAATACTTTTTAAATTTCAAACAGTCTTTAAAAGTCCCAATTAAGTATACCCCATATGACAGTTTTTTAAGGTACTAGTATTTCATGTTTTTGATACTTTTGTAATATTTTCGATTTTGTTTTTTTAGTCTTTTAAGGTAAATTTTTCTCAACAATATGTCCGCCCACTCCAAAATTTGATTATTGCATGATTTTGAAGTTGTGCGATTCCTAGGGGGTTCTATGCATCTATTTGAATGATTGGATTTATTTATGGATGACTGAATGTATATATGATTGATGAATGAAATAATAATCAAATTTTTTCCGTTATAATGAGGCACAAGGGAAACAAGATTGTTGGACATTGTTTTTTAAATTAATTTTTTCAAAGCGCTATTACCGGTTTGAAGGCAAGATAATTTGTAAGATATATAATCTGAAATTAACTTCTTATTTTGCGTTATAAAATACTGCAACATGCGAAATAGAATTCAACAATGGCGTGCCATGTGGCTATAAGGAAAACATTCCAGCAAGTTGAATTCATATGAAAAAACATCATGGATACATCAACAATTAAAATGACAGAGACCGAAACGAACTAAAGAGCACATTTGGAACATCACATTCAATAGTACTACATGATAAGATTTTAATTTCTTTTCTTCCTCAATAGTGGCAAACACTATTTATTCCACCAAACCAAACATGCTTGGAACTTAGCAAAATAGGATTTCTTCTTAGGTTTATCAAATATCCCAGATCCATAAGTCTGATATGTCATCTCAATCAAGAGAGGGAATTGCAAGATGGAGCAAAGAACTATCGGAATCGTTGAAAGGATGATGATCGGAATGGTAACCCAAGACAACTTCTCATGTAGAATCAGATACAATGCAGAACCAAAGGATGGCATCATTGTAACAATCGAAAAGAACAAACATGTCAATCCAAATATTAATTTCGTCGGTAAAGACTTGAGAAAATCTTCTTCTGCATAATGGGCCGTAAGAATTCCTAAGAACATCAACAGCGACGTACTTGAACTGAACATTGACAAGGCATTTGAAATCATGAAAATCAAGAATGGAGTTCTTTGAGTTTCCAGCATTGTTGGCAATCCTGAGTTTTCTTTATTACCACCTGGTACTGTGAAAGCTGTTGTGAACATTACAACAGCAATTAGAGTGCCTACTATCATGCTTGATCCTGCTGTGCTTTTCATCCAGCTCTCTGCATCTTTGGTTAATTTCTTGTGTTCATCAGTGAATAACATTTCGAGTGTTTTGGTGATCGCATTTTTTTCCTCTTTGAGTTTGGGTTGTACTATGCTCTCGACTTCCTGTTTATTGGAAGAAACAACTTATGATGAGGATTTAAAACTATAGATAATATAGATTGACGTACCATTAGAGTAGATAAAATGTCGTGAATTCAAAAACATTTGTGAGTAGGGAAGAAACAAATTACACCATATTATATGTCACTTTGGACTACTTTTTTTGGGATGAAATCATGTGCACAATTTGAACTCCATATCGAATCACATAAAGCTTAAACTTTTGGAAACAAGACAAACTTATATATGTGAATTAAGTGTTCAATAACTATCACCTATTTATGAAAATTGTACGTGTTGTAGAGTGGGAGCATGTTGAAGATAAAATTCAAATAAATAAGAATACGATATCTCTCAACAGCTTAAACTTTCAGATATTATGACTTGAATAACAATCACAACAGTAACCTCAATTTCTCCCTCATCCGTCTCCTTTTCCAACCTCAATTTCCCCCATTCAATTGAATGACCAATAAATAATAATTGTTGCAAACCAAGTTAATAACCAATTCTCGCTGTATACCTCCAACAAAAAGTTCACACTATTCAAAAACAATAGACTATGCAGACACTATCACTTTTTGTATCATTTCATGCACATTTAGTAGACAGGCTCTGAGCATGAGACAATAATTGCTTTGTTGTTGAACAATATGGTGACTTATCTGTATGATTTAGATGTTCGACGGGGAATCCTTCATTGCTAAACAGTGGCGTATTTCAAGGATGAAAACAATTTCTTATCCGGTACCACTATTTCGATCAACACTTTTTATACATACATCCACTTTTAAAAATTAAATTTTATTATATTTTAAAATCCTATGTAAATTTACTTAAATAGATATAAAAAAAATTAAATAAAACTACATAACTCTAAATTGATCCACTAGTTTTTATTTTCATTTATGCTTAACTAGAATCCTAATAGAAAGAGAAAAAATACATGAATATAATTATAGGTGATGGTGGCCCTAAATGTGATTTCTGTGTTGGGAATTGACACGACTCGTCCCGAATCACCCTAGTGGATCGGAAACGTGACGTGCGCCGAGGATAAATGCTGACTAGATGTCAAATTTATCACCAAGGCTGACTATATATGGGTTATTTCAAAAAATACAACAAAATCAAATGCTTATGTAAAACATAATGTGATGGGCCCAAATTATTTATTTTGTGCTTCATCAAAATGAGTTATAACACTCAACATGTCGTGCGGCTCTCATTCCGAAATCATTAGGCTCTTCCAGCTAAAAAGAATCAATTTCCACCTGTAGGAAAATAACGGAAAAATATATGAGTTGATAGCTCAGTGAGTGGAGAAGTTCGAAAATAATTATAATTTTTCATTTTTACATTTTTCTCGAAAATCGAGTTCATATCATTGATAACTCGCAAGATAACATCATATAATTATAGCCAAGACGTGAGACATTCACATAACGTGGTAAAATATCATTTCAAGTCATGATATAATCATAAGCTGGTAATCATGTTATAATCTCATCACATCAAATGTATTGGAAAATTGACCAAAAATGTACCTTTTGACTAAAATCTGTAATCCGCCCCTCGGGCTAAGAACTTTCGCCACGGGCCTTTGGCCCCTCCGTGAACGAAAACGGGTCTCAAGACCTCTGATAATCAATTTTAGAACACAGCCAAGGCCCCTCAGTGAACTATATATACACGATCACGACCCATTCATCCGCAGTCAACCCCTCAGTGTAGTATAGAACACGACCAATGCCCCTCTATGAACTAGAAGAAGTACATAATCACGGGTACTTTTCTGGTCGATCTCAATATCACGTCTCACATACCAAACAAATCTCAATATCACATGTCTCATATACCAAGTCACAAATGTACAATAAATAATCCTTGAAATTCCACATGTATCATAATAAAAGAGATTTCTATAATAATCATGTAATTTGAACACATAATTGCACATACTTTAACAATATACTTAATTTATACGTACTTTAAAAAAAAAATATATTTTTCCACTCACAGAGCTATGTACACCAATATCAACTCGATTGATAAGTTGTCCCGATATCTGTATTGCCGTCTGAAATATTATATAATTTTTAAATCAACAATTAACTATTTTAAGTAATCTCAATAATTAAATAGGCGATACCCAAACTTAATTATTTTATATTTAAGTGATTTCTAAAACCTCTTTAATTACTAAAACTAGTTTTTCTTTCATTTTACTCAATTTCATAGTTTATTATATTTAACCCCTTTAATAAAATTGAATTTAATCTAACAATTTAACAACTATAAAATTAAACATAACTTGACAATAAATAACTTTTTACTTACCTTTAACTTCGAAGAATTTAAGCCTAATAGTAGAAGAACTTATTTACTAACACGTTAGGGAGTTTTCCTCTTTTTATTTTATTTTTTTCTTTTTCTCCTTTTTTTTTTCCCTTCTTCCTTCTCTTTCTTTCTCCCTGTTTCTGTTTCACTCTGCGTGTTTTTGTATGTGTAGGCAAATGGATTTGTTTGGCAATGGATTGATATAAAATAAATGCACCGCCTCACCTTTTTTGTTTGCCTTTTTTTTTTTTTAATACTTTTGACTTTTCTTTAATTAAACTAATGTTTTGTTTTTTGACTTTTCTTTTAATTAAATTAATTTATTACAAAACTCACCCCCTTAAAAGAATTTTGTCCTCGAAATTCAATTAATTAAGTGCGAAAAAATCGTGGATATTGAGAACACTTCTGCTCTTCCCTCTCCCATGCCGCCTCTTCTACAACATGATTTCTACAACGAACTTTTAGTCCCAAAATTTAATCTTTTCTATCATACTTTTAATAACTTCCTAAGCCAATATATAATATTCTCATCTTTCATTTTTCTTTTTTTTTTCCCAAAACCTTAGGAAAACTCAATTATTTTTTGAAGTTGAAATTCAAGATATTGCTTTTTATGTTCTCCAAATCTTCACCTTACGTTCTAATTTAAACTATTCCCTAATCACATTCTTTTTCTATAACAATGGTTACATATTAAGATCGAACAACATTCTTTCGCCCATTTCATCATACGTCCTTGGAATATTTCAATATTATATATAACCTCAATTATCGTCACTTGTGCCTAGTTTTTATATGTCAATTCCATGAAAATAAATAGTTATCTAATTCTCCTTTAATTAAACAACCATAATTGATAGCCTCTCTTTTGAACTTATCTTCATAGTGTCTGACGCTTTACTCTTTTGAACTTGTCTTTATAGTGTCTAGCATTCTATCAAAAGAAGATGCACAATGTAATTTAATTATAGAAGTTCTTACAACTAACCAAAGATAAATACTCCAATTCCACCATGTAATTAATAATATTATCTATATATAATTTTATAAGTCTATCCTATGAACTGACTATATCATTTAAAAAGAATCTTGTAACCTTAATCAATATATCCACAATAATTTAAATACTATTATGCCTCCATTCCGTGTATTTGGAATCCCCAAACAAAAATATTTGAGGGTAACTACCTCCATATTAAATTAACAATATCTCCAAAAATTCAATTGTTCATGATTTTGTAA